TGGGAGGCACTTCAAAGTCTATTCTGATCATGAAACGTTACGATGGTTAAAGACACAGGCCAAGATGACACCTAAGCTTACTAGGTGGGCCGCAGAGATAGATCAGTACGACTTCGAGCTCAAGCCTGTCAAAGGGAAATACAACGTAGTCGCGGATGCTCTGAGTAGGAGGGCAGATTACTTTGGGGCGATAGTACACTATCTTGATATAGGGAAGGACCTGCAACAGAAGGTTAGAGATGCCTATGCGCAGGACCCTATCTATAGTGAGCTCCTTAAAAAGGTCAAGGAGACCCCAAAAACTGAGCCGAACTACAACACTACTGAAGGGCTACTCTTTGAGAAGACTAATGTATTTGACCGTCTGTGCATTCCCAATAGCGAAGAGATTCGTAGCCTGATTCTGGGTGAATGCCATGACACAGAGGGTCATTTGGGTTGGCAAAAAACCTTAGCCAATCTAATGCGCGCGTATACCTGGCCAGGGATGAAGAATGACTGCGTAGAGTATGTTCGCAGTTGTAAGGTCTGCCAGCGTAACAAGAGTTCTACGCGCGCCCCGCTAGGTCTTCTCAGACCCTTGCCCATTCCGGATCAGCCGGGAGACTCGGTGTCAATAGATTTCATGGACACTCAAGTCAAGAGCAGGCATGGCAAGAGCCAAGTCATGGTCATAGTTGACCGCTTTAGCAAGTACGCAGTTTTTGTTCCTTTGCCTTCTGAGGCGCGTACTGATTTAGTCATTCAAAGGTTCTTTGACTGTTGGGTTAGTGAGAATGGAATCCCGTTGTCTATAGTTAGCGATAGAGATAGTCGCTTTACTAGCCAGAACTGGAAAAAACTCATGGGAGTATACGGATGTAAGTTTTTGATGTCGTCCGACCGCCATCCAGAGACTAACGGCCAGACAGAGCAAATGAACAAGATCCTACAGCGAGTTCTGCGCATGTATATTAGGCCAGATCAGATTAACTGGGATGAGATGTAGCTAGTGCATACAATAACAGCGTGCATCTAGCCTCCTGCCATCTCCCAACGAACTGCAAGACCGCGCAGACCGTTTGAGGGACTTAACCGGGATCAGATTCAGAGATTGCCGCCCGGGACCAGGGAGTTTGCTGTGCAGCACGAGAAAGAACTAGCTACTGTCGTAGAGAACCTCAGAAAAGCCCAGCGTAGGATGATAGAGCAAGCGAACAAACATTGTCGCCCTTCACAGTTTCAAGTAGGCGACTTAGTCTGGATTAGTTCTAAAGAGTTTGCGCCGGAGGAAAACATCTCGCAGAAGTTACTGCCCACATATAGAGGACCTTGGCCTGTTCTGGAAGTCAAGGGCGGCGAAGATGGACCGTCCTATACAATAGAACTACCAGCACTCCTCCACACGTATCCAGTTTTCCACGCATCGAAGTTGCTACCTTGTCAAACAAATGATCAGTTTCCATCCCGTAGATCGATGATCCCACCTGATATGGATGGAAGATATGACATAGATGGTATAGTGGCTGAAGATGTCTTCAGAACTGGAGGTAGGGGTCGTCCGCAGAAACAATACAAGGTTCATTTTAGTTATCAGGAACGGGAAGATATGACATTGATGGTATAGTGGCTGAAGATGTCTTCAGAACTGGAGGTAGGGGTCGTCCGCAGAAACAATACAAGGTTCATTTTAGTTATCAGGAACCGGAAGACGACCGCTGGCTTACAAGATCTGAACTTCTAGAGACAGCTCCCGATATAGTCCGGGCTTACGAAAGACAGCAGGAAGGTAAAGGTCCTGCCTTGGACTGAAATTTTCTCGGAGGACCTCGAATTTAGGCCGGCGGGAGTGAAACGGTATTCACCAGTTCGGGGTAGCGAATGCAGATCCCAGGGCTCGATCCCTAGATCCCCGTCTTACCTGTGTACAGTATCAGTGTCAACCCGTAGACTTGAACCTGCGACCTGTAGGAACGCCAGTGGTAGGCAATTTGTCGTAGGTCACGTGTTAGAAGGGAATTGAACTGTAGACCTATAGATTAGGAGTCTAGACAGTTCCGAAGTGGTAGCTGTAGGCTGCTTGAGGAGTCAAGGTTGTAGCTGCTACTTACCTGAAGGGGCAAAGTCCTAGCTGCTACAGTACCGAAGGGCCAACGTAGAGGTTTCTAGAACTGGCCTTTCGGAGTTGGCCTGTGTTCAGCAGAGGCAAGTGGTCAAGTGGTGGTAGTCCACCTAGCCCAGTCAGCAGTCCCAGGTAGCCCAGTCCGGTCCAGTCAAGCAAGTACCGTCTGGGACTGTGCACATCATGGGCCAAGGGGTAGAGGGCAGACCAACGCAGCGCAGAAGTATAAATCAAGAGGCTGTGTCCACCCATTCATCCATTCCTGCGGATGCCATGCGGAAGCGCTGCCTCAGCAGCTTGTGCGGGGAGGTCTGCAGGGCGCCCGAAGACGAAGAGGGCAGTGAAGTGTATTGTAGCGATAGGATAGTGGCAGCCATAGCTGCCATAGCTATAGTAGTGTGTGTGTGTGTGTGTGTGTTGCATGTAGAGTGTTGCGTGTGGGACATCCAGGGTGATCCAGAGTGCGAACAGTGAGTTGTGTGGGCGCTCAGTCGCCATAGCCAGTTTGAAGGGAACTCCTACCTGGTTACGATATCTTTGAGTACTGTGTGGGCGCATGTCACCAGTTTGCTGTTTCGCTGTTTGCATGCATGACAAGTGTGAAGAGGTCAAGTCTGATTGCAATGGCCTTCATCATGGGGTTGCTCTCGCGGGGTTGCTCTCGCCGCTTGGGCTACATACTAGTTCTTGTCATCCCAGATCATAGCCTTCCTCACGGTTGCTCGAGGATCCATTTCATCGCAACTAAAGTTACTAAACATATCCAAAGATAGCTGCCTTCATCACGGTTGCTCTCGCCTACTCTCTTCGTCACTGTTGTAGATATTCAAGAACTCAAAGCTATCTGGGACCACAGAAACTTCGGCTGCAGCAATCCAAGTCAAGATTCTACAAAAGTTGATACTCACTATTCTCAGTGATTTGGGCCTTTCAAGTTCAAGTTGATGCTCCAGAAGGAGTCCGGAGAATCTGAGACAATGGTTCCTACATGCATCGGGAAGAAAGGAATAGTTTTTTTTTTTTTTTTTTTTTTTTTTTACGAAGAACGTTTTTTTTTTTTTCCCCCAATGATGCTCAGGCGGGCGTGCCCTCGGCAAAAGCCTTGGGCACCACGTGCGTTCAAGGTATCGATGGCTCACGGATTTCTGCAATTCACATTCAGTATCGCATTTCGCTGCGCTCTTCATCGTTGCGAGGGCCAAGATATTCGTTTGCCGAGAGTTCTACGAAGAACGTTTTAGCTCTGCTCCTTAGTTGTATTATATACCACTTAGGAGTACTACCATCTTCACCCGAATAGAACGACCGGTCATTATCGCTGCATCTGGACTGAAAGTTGGGCCAAATGCAGCTATAATGACCGGGCGTTCTATTCGGGTGAAGACGGTAGGAAGGAAGCATCGGTTAGACCACCAGGTTCGATTCCTCGTAGGTTCAGCTCTGCAAGCACACTAAGTGCTTTTTTATCTATTTACTTTCTTTTTCTGTTGTTGTGTACGCTACCAGTCAGAGAATCCAGGCCTTTGATTCTTTTTACGTATGATCGGACAGGGTGAGGATCTACGGTGGTAGGTTCGGAGATGGAGGGCCGGTTAAATGAAGCCTGAATTTTCAGAAATTGGATATGCCATTTTATAAGAAAACCACATCTGGCACACAGCAACCTTGCCCTACAACTAAACCAGGTAGTCAGAGAATCCAGGCCTTTGATTCTTTTTTACGTATGATCGGACAGGGTGAGGATCTACGGTGGTAGGTTCGGAGCTGGAGGGCCGATTAAATGAAGCCTGAATTTTCAGAAATTGGATATGCATTTTATAAGAAAACCAAATCTGGCACACAGCAACCTTGCCCTACAACTAAACCAGGCAAAAAAAGGAATTCAAAACCACAAATGCTCGGCACATAATATCTAGACAGCAAGCGGGCCCAAATACAGCTTTAATGGGCGTACGTTTTATCTCGGGCAAGACGGCAGTGCTCACACCGTCAGGGTTTCGGGCTAGGTAGCACGACATTTCCAGCTGTGCTACTTAGGTTTAGGGTTACTTCTGCAGATAAAATGGCCGGCATCTTGTCTACGGCTTATGTCTGACAAAGGTTTAGGGTTAACTAGGGTATTAGGTTGACTAGGGTTTATGGGGTTACTAGGGTTAACTCGGCAGATAAGGCAGGCATTTTTACCGGGGCTTGTGTTTTACCGGGTTAACTAGTGGTATTAGGTTGACTAGGGTTTACGGGGTTAGGGTTAATTCGGCAAAAAAGGCAGGCATTTTTACCGGGGCTTATGTTTGACCAGGATTTAGGGTTAACTAGGGGTATTAGGTTGACTACGGTTTACGGGGTTAGGGTTAATTCGGCAAAAAAGGTAGGCATTCTTGCCGGGGCTTATGTTTGACCGGTTTAAGAAGGGGTCTTACGTGGAGTAGGGTTTACGGGGTTAGGGTTAATTCGGCAAAAAAGGCAGGCATTCTTACCGGGGCTTATGTTTGACCAGGATTTAGGGTTAACTAGGGCTAAGGTTGACTACCGTTTTCACCCAAAGAGAACGCCCGGTCATTATAGTTGTATTTGGCACAACTTTCAGCCCAGATATGGCGGTAATTACCGCCAATTTACCGGGCGTTCTATTCGGGTGAAGACGGTGGGGTTTATGGGCCAGGCATTCCGTGCTTGGGAGTTCTACTGTTTCCCCCCCAAAAGAATGACATTGTACAGTCCTCATCGTGGTATTTAGACTGAAAGTTGCCCGAAATACAGCTATAATGCCCGAATGTTATATTCAGGAGAAAAAGGTAGGGCTCGGGTTTTAGGGTTAATTCAGCAGATTCTGAAAAGAGTGGCTTTTTTGGAGCAAGGGCTTTGAAGGTAAGCTGCAGGTAACATGTAATTAACTCACAATCATCAGTTTGGAATGAATGTAGATCGGAAATCGACAGTTCTCCTGCGCCTTTCTGTTCAACTCATCGGAAGGCTTCGTGAGCTTGAAACCTTCTGGAAGCTTCTCGCGATTGACTAGGGTGAAGAAACTCAGGTAGTCCGTGGGCTTTGCATCAGCAAGCCCTTGCGCATGTATAGCACTGGCGACCGCACTGTACATCATGGACATTGTGTCGTATTGCCACCGAAGTATCTCCCGCACCGCTGAGCTGCTTGGATCGCCCGCTGGCCACATCGGTATGACAACGTACACCACGAAGTTCTCTCTGCGCTCTATCTTTCTCACAATTTTCTGGGCTATCTGGTATGGAATCTTCTGGACCGCGCCAACATCGCGATTCTCCAACCAGTACTGTGAGCTTCCTATGAAATACTGATTTTCGATGTATAGAAAATCCTCCGCTCGTTGGATGGCCCGCATGTATAAGTCATAGATGCTCTTCTCGTAGCTGAACTTAGAGTCCGGGCCAATGTAGAGCCCCGACTCGACGGCCACCGTTGGATCTTCCCTCAGCCGCTCACCGCTTGGGAATCCGGCGACGGACGCACTGTCGATCGACCGAACGAAATGCACGTCCCAAGCCTCTGGGTCCCCTTCTGGCACTGCCCTTGCTTGCTTCGGCGCAAAGAACTGCGCATGCTTTTCGAAATCGAAAAGAACCTCCGTGGGTTCCTCCTTTCCCTCGGGACGGTTTGGCGGCGGCAGGCAGTCGTGACCCGGGTCGATCGTCTTCCAGCGCTGCTCGAAGTTCGCCACCATGTCCCATGCAGCGGGACCATCCACCTTTGCATGAATGTCATGCCATGGAAGTCGAGGTCCGCTCTTCCCTCCCCAGCTAGGCTGGTACATGTCGTTCTTGTGCACCGTGTTCAGCGTTTTGAACAGAGGGTGGTTGGGTGTGTCGTATCGTCCCACCGTCAGGTCGATTCCGCCAATATACACTTCGACAACCCTCGATTCCGAATCATCGACTGCTTCCCACGCTGGCGCATCAAGCATAACCATCTTCTGATGATGCGTAAAGGCGTTCGGAATCATTGTCACATCAGTGTCCCGCCGCTCTGCCAAAATGCACACCAACTGCCGCTCACAGAACCAAGCGCAGGACTCATCAGAGTGAGTATCCGGAGCAATTTCCGCGCCGATCCGGTCGAAAAACTGATTTTGATAGTTCATTTTGTTGCTCCAGATCAGAAACAACACCTTCACGTACTCCGTTGCTTTCTGCGTCAGGAGCTCTCCGATCGTCACCCCCCTGCAACGGGGATTCCCCCTGTCCCCCCGTACTAGGACGAGCGTTCTATCCAAATCCCATCCTACGATGTAAATGAAATGCCTCGCCTTGAGAATAGACTCGCACAGCTGCTCGAACATGCTGTGCTGCTCAAAAGTCGTCCCGTTCTCCAGAGTAATGTTCGGAGAAAAGCTGCTCGGCACAATCGCATCTTGGAACAGAGTCACTCGGTTACCCTTGCGCTCGAAGAAGTACGAAAGAACCAAAGGAGGCACCCAGTTATCATTCTTGAGAACTCGTCCGGGCTGGAGGTCCACATCCGATTCAGTCTGGAGCGCTCGGAACTTGAAAAGCAAAAGTATTCTTGCATTCGCATCGGATTGAATTTCCTCATCGCTGCACAAACTGTACCACCCGCAAACTTCTTTGAATTGCCGCGCAACTGACAAGGCCCGGATGTATGCCGTTCCCACATGTTCATTGAGGCCTTGTCCACAGCTCAAATCGACTGCGACCAAAAAGTAGCTTGGCAAGTGACTAAGCTCTATGTGAAAAGCGGCTGACTGCTGCCTGGCATGATTTCCACTGCTCCAAATAATGTCAGAGCTCGCTAGAACCTCCCTCCCACTACCAACACTTGCATACACGGTCAGAGTCCCATTGCAGCATCCCTTGTCCATGTTCTGCAAACAAAAGGGTAAATTTACCGACCAGCCATGCACATATTAGCACCGCACAAACACACACAAAAACTCACACACACAAAAACTCACACACACACACACATACACACACACTTACACACATATAACACTTAAAAATAAAAAAAGTAAAAAAATAAAATAAAATAATAATATTAACAATAAATATTAAATAATATAATAATATTAATAATAAATAATAATAATAATAAAAATAGTAATAGAATTATAATTGTCATCTGATGATATATGTCTGTGCATGATGATAATCATCGTGCACTCACAAGCACACAAACACACGGTAACACACTGACACACACAAGGACATGCGCGCACACACTCACACAATTACACGCACATACACACACCCACAAAGACAATTAGGGCCTACTGCACTGTTAGGGTGCTGCTCGGTTCGGGATGTCTGTGTTGCCTGTGGGTGATGACGGATGATCCTTGCAGTTATGGGCCAAGATGCAGTTCGCAATTGCAGTCTGGGCAATGTATACAACCCAGCTTTAGGCCAGGTAGGGTGCCGGAACTGCAATTGCAAACTGTATCTTGGCCCATAGTGCAATTATAACTCGTTTTTGTGACTCCCGTGTAGGTACCCCTTTTCTCTTTTTCGATTGCTAATCTCTTTGTGTAAGGGTCTTACATTTTCATCATGGACGAAAAAGAGTTCAGGTCCATGACAATTCATCATAGAATGAAGACTATCGAATCATTGTTTAGCGTGGTGGTCCCCGCCCCGCCTCTGCCTGGCATAACCGCAGAGGGTTTTATCCCCTCAAAGGGATTTCTACCTTCTTCTTCCCAAATCCATCTCCGTCCCAGGCTCACTTTACTTCCAGCTCCCGTCGCTATCTTTCCATGCATCACATGGAAATCAACGCAACTTTCATCCTGTTAGAAGCACTCCGAGAGAGAAGAGTGCCCAGTGGCATGTCGTTGGCGAGGGAGACCCTGGATGGCTTTAATAATTACAAATTAGTCCAATTAATATTTCAAAATATCCTTTTATTGTTTTCTCCAAGCATTGTTGAGGAAATTTATTTTCTCTTTTTTCAAGTTTTTTGCCTGCTAAATTGCTAATATTCTAGAGGAGGAAACATAAACTGCCCTAGGGCTCCTTTTCTTTTTTTTGGTGGGGGGGGGGGGGGGGGGCTTACCTCCAATTTTAACAGATGTCCCAAAGGACCTTTTTTGAGGAGATTTTGTCCCCATTCCATTACTAGCCATATTGTGTTCAGATTCTTCAGAATCAATTAATAGCATTTAATACCGAAAAGAAAGAGAAGAAGAAAAAGGGATACCTTTGCTGTGGCAAGCTGATATCAAAAGCCCCAGTACCTTTTCCCCCTGAAGCAAAATAGCTCAGCATAATTTAATAACTTGTGTCATTGACTGTATTTGGTCAGGAACAGGGTTCAAATACATTCACAATGATGTGCCATTATGTTCGGGAAAAGAAGCTAGCTGTTGTGAGGGTGACAAGCTTCATCCACCACAAAAGAAAATTACGAACACAGATACATCACGGGCCATAACTCGGAACCGATACGTCCATGCCCCAGCCAGCTTTGTTGACCAATTCAGTATTTACGACCACAAATTTGTTGCGGGCTCTAATAATTGCAATCAGATAAATCCATGCCATGACCAGGTTCGCCCACCACTGCATTTTGTTACGAACAGCGAACACCGATATGTCATGGGCCACAATTCCAATCAGATGCGTCCGGACCGCCAATTCCCCCCCCCTAAAAAAGTGTTCCTCTTGCTCGTGGTATACCTTATTACCCTCGACCCGTGACGCGGCCGAATCGTGACTGACTGAAACATTTACTGATTTAAGGTCTTTCACAAGGATGTTATATGCTTTGGATTTGGTTTCATCCGCAACAACCCAGACCATAAACCCTAAACCCCAAAACCTTAAACACGAAACCCCAAAACAAACAAGCCCTAAACCCTAAACCCTAAGCCATAAAGGACCGAGACCGTAAACCCTAAACCCAGCTTAAACACAAAACCCCAAAACAAGCAAGCCCTAAACCCTAGACCCTAAGCCGTAAAGGAGCGAGACCGTAACCCCCAAAACCCAAAACCTTAAACCTCAAGCCCTAGGCCCCAGGACCCCAACCATAAGCCCCCGAGACCCCCATGCCTAAACCCCAACCATTAGGCTTAGCCCTTACAGGATTATTGCACAAAAAAGTAGCAATCCATTGGGGGTACGCCCAAACCCCAAGTCTCGTTGGGTTTCAGCATATCCCCATGGGATAGACCAAATTTAGGCTGGAAGCTCCCTTTGCATGGGCATGCCCAGTGTTGAAGCACAAGTACAGCGCACATCAGCCGGCGGGTGTCAGCATGAAACCCGCACCACTTCGGAGGCCGCCAATGTTTTTTTCAATGGCGCCCCACACCGCACGACCCTTTCGAGTTTTGCTTGTGGCGACAAAAAACACTTTCTGCAAGGCTGCGGCCGTGTACTCGCGGGTCGATGTGTAAAACACTGACCATGGGATCACAAGGCATTGCAGGGCAGATCTCGGTCACTCCAGTGCCACACAAACCTTTTATTCCATCGTAGCCCGTGGGTAATGGGGCCATGCTACATTATCTTCTCAGACAGAATTCCTTTCCTTTTTTTTTTTCATTCTTACTTTTAAATTTTAATTTCCTTTTTTGGTATGCATCCAATTTTAAGATACGTCTGGAAAATATACCTTCCTCCGCCTTTTGGCTAAAAATAGATCTAGTATCTGTTCTGATCCACGATCCATCGCACATTTTTTTTGAAAAGCTTGCTTCAAAAAAAAAAAAAAACAAAAAAAAACTAAGTCACAAAAGTGACAAAACCCAATTTACTGGTAGGTTGCCATAAAACTGAAGGACCATGAGAGGCCCCCACTTGGAAGGTGCCCACCAAATCCAGGGCCCCACAAAAGTGAAAAAACCCCACGTACTACTTGTAGGTGCCCATGAATTTCAAATCGATAGCCCACAAAAGACCGTTGTTTCCTATCCCTCTGAAGAGAGGCTGGTCTGAAAACGAAGGGCCCAAACAAAAAAGGGTCCATTTACTATAATAGGGTCCACCCTTACAGAAATTGCTACCTTTGGGGTCCATAACCCTTCTGCTTGATTGAATTGAACCCACAATGTCCCTTGAATATCAGCTCCTCTTGCTTCCTGCAAGTTATTAATTGTCGTTCAAATTCATCACCATACAGCAATCAAAAGGGAAAAGGACAAAAAAAAAAAAAAAAAAAAAGTCAACACAGTCAGAGAACACGAACGTTGAGAATATAGGTTAGTTGAAAAAAATAAAAAATAAAAGAACATTCAGTGGTACAGTAAAGCTCCATGCTGTTCACCTGCTGGTGGGTGCAGCTCGTGCATGTTCCCTCATTGGATGTTTGATTGAAAAAAAAAGAAAAGAAGCTCCCTGCTGTTCATTGGTGTTGCTGCCACTTTATTTTGGTTTTGGCCCACCTTCATTTTGGTTTGGGAAAAGTTAAAAAACCTCCCCGCAATGAAAAGTTTGTATTCGTTTAGGGTTTAGGGTTTAGGGTTTAGGGTTTAGGGTTTTGGGGTTTTCGCTAATGATGCAAAAATGATGCCACAGGCCCCAAAATGACTTTTGGCATCATTTTTGCACCCTCTAAAACAATTTCCCGCCATTTTTGCACAGCGGACGAGACGGAAAATCATTTTTGGGCCTGCGACACTTTTTGCCCCGTTTGGGGGGGACGAATACAAAAGATTCCCTTGCGGGGAGGTTGTATAACTTTTCCCTTTTGGTTTTGGCCCACCTTTAGGCGAACCTTTATTTTGGTTTTGGGCCTTTTGGCGGCATTTGGCCCATCTTTATTTTGGTGTGGAATTACAATTCGGCCCACTTTTAGGCATGAAAAAGGGCTGTCCGGCACGATGGCCTAAGCACGAGAACGGAGAGGAAGATCACCAGAACATTCACCAATACAAGCGGTCCGTTGCGCGCGAAATGCGGCCATACCTCGACCCGTTTTGTCCGTCCCCCACACAGACTCCTCAGCGGTATTAGACCCTGCACGACCAAGTCCACGACATCACACTTCACACATAGTCTTTTCCTACTACTCTCCTACTCTCTGGCATTCCTCAAACACCTTTTCCCATCACGTGAACCATACACATAGTACCCCAAAGAACGAAGTCGAACCCGCACAAGCATCGATCCATCACGTGATTCACGTCAACAGGCAGTCCGCGCATCCTGAAAAAGCACACAGCGTGACCTCCCTCGAAAGTTCATCCACGACTCCATGAGAAACCGATTGTGTGCGGCCGGATTCAGAGGTCCTCTCCCCCCCCCCCCCCCCYCCCCCTCCAATCATATCCTGCTCAGTCAATCTCCTGGATCCCAGGGTAATCAATGCTGGCAGGAAAATCCCACAATTGTGTCTCAGAGACATTCCAAACTTAATCTGTATAAGGGACGCTGAACCCGTTTTCCAGCAGGTGATGCTCCCCACCGATAGACGGAGCTTCTCCCCAAGTGCTAGCCTAAGTGGTGTCTTCTCTTATCAGCACCACTAACACTGGTGGGAGTTTTTTCAAAAAAAAAAAGAAAAAAAAGAAACCTATTGTGTGCATCGCAATGCAGCAGCAAGTCTATACCCACGGCATTGCACACAGGTGCGATGTGTGCACAGTGCCGCACACCTCATGACGATGAGCAAGCAGCTTTTACGCAGATCAATGCCTACCTTCGTCCTTCCATTACCAACACCTCCTGCGGCCATTGGACCGGTCATCTTTCTGATATACCCCTATCGGGTTTACACAGATCAACGCCTACCTTTGTCCTTCCATTGCCGCGCACCTCCTGTGGCCATTGGACCGGTCATCTTGCTGATATACCCCTATCGGGTACCTGCCAACTTTTCAAAATGTACCCGGTACCAGCAAACTTTTTGAAGGCCCGTTGAATTTTGTTATTTACCCCCACCGCCCCGTGTCATCTTTTTGACATACCCTCCACGTCTATTAGACCGGTCAATGTTTAATGAATCTGACTCCGGGGGCGAGGTCCCATTCATTAGCAAAGAGGATTGGATCGAGCTCCTGAACCTGGATGTGTTGTAAGCCGAGATGCAGAAAAGCAGTTCAACCTCGAATTTCTGCACCTCTTTGCGAACAGGTCTACATTCATGCGTTCAATCCAATCCTTGTTGCCAGTGGGACCTCGCCCCAGGGGCTAGGTCCCACTTGCACGAATTAAGAGATACTGACCGTAGATAGCAAAGATCAACGGCTGAAATCGCCTAATTTGTGCAAGTGGGACCTTCCCCCGGGTAAGACGGTAGGTACATCAGAATTGCAGTATTGATCTCGTCTGCTTCCAGTCAAGATGGAGCCCTGAACAGTGAACATTCATTGAAATAGGGCAATGGCGCCTGTAGGCAGGCCCCTTCAGCCCAATGGACCAGGTTAAGGTCATGAATCTGAATGGGTTTTATGCAGAGATGCAGAACCCAGTTTCCATTGCCATATTCTGCAATTGCTCCACAAACACGACGTTCAGGGGGGAACTGGGTTAAGCTATTCAATCTTCCTTTTTTTTTTTTTTTTTTTTCCTTTTCCTTTTCTTTTCTTTAACCATTTCTCGGTTTATGCGTGTCATGATCCTTGCACAGGGGCCATTCGAATCCTCTCTATTAAGTAATAATAACAAAAAATATAAAAATCAAAATAAAAATCCTTTGTCTATCAGTCCAACTTTAAA